TATTTGTACCATATCTAAGGTACCAATTGTTAACGTTTTTTTTGTTAGATTGATTATTAAGATGAAGAGAGTGTGTGCGCAAATTTAGGTTTTTAGTAAGTATCGTTGCATTATACTATGATATAACCGTTGTATTGGATCATTGCTATCTATATATATATATATATATATATATATATGAATTGTATACAATGAGGCAATTTACTTTTTATATATGATGGTCACAATTTCCTACAACCATTTGATGTGAAATTTGATAGCTTGGATGCGTCACAAAGTTCAAGAAAATTTCTTTTGAAGTTTGAGCTTGGTCAATAAATTAATTGCAGCCACCCAACTTTACATCCAATGGTCAAGATTATTGTGACCACCTCGTATAAAAAGTAAATGATCTCATTATATTTATATATATATATATGGGAAAGGTTTCATATGCTTCCCCTACATCATAGAAGTTCTATCCTTCTCCTACCATCCAGCCATCTAATTTTGATTAAGAGAGCCATTCACCGTTTGATCTTATATCTGACGTCTCAAAGTATTTTATTTTTAGATTTTTTTATACAAATAGTATGAATATGAAAATTGGTACGTGCCATCTTCTCTATAAAAATATTAAAAATAATTTTTGATAAAATATAATGATCAAAATACCCTTTGAAACTTTTAGGGGTATTTTGGTCATTTTATTTTGTTGAAAATATTTTTTTTGTATATTTTTCGATAGTGCGAGTTTAATAGAGGAATGGACGTCCAAAATTTGGTGTCAAAATAGTTTATAGAAAAAAAATTTAAAATAAAATAGTGTAGATACTTGACATTGTGATTGGAGCAATCTTAGCCCTCCATTCAGAATGAACGGTTGGATAAGGGGGAGGATAGAACTTCTATGCTGTCGGGGACGCATAGGAAGCTTGTCCATATATATATATATATATATATAGGAAAAAGTCTTCCTAACATCTATAGGTGAAAATAAATAGTGATTTCGCCTACACTCATCACCGTTCAAGTTTCATCGCGTGGTCACGATTGTCCGGTAGTATTTTATTTTTTATTTATTTTTCTATAAATCGAAATGACCTGAAATTTGGAGGGTATGTACATCTTACTGAGGAGCATCTAATAAAAATATAAAAAAAATTATCCGCAAAAAAATGGCCAAAATACCCCCGAAAAGTTTTTGGGGTATTTTGGTCAATTATTTTCATGTAAAATAATTTTTTTATATTTTTCGAATATTCCCCTATTTTTAATGAATGTATATTCGAAATTTCAGGTCATTCCGATTTATAAAAAAAATATGAAAAATAAAACTTTATCGGACAATCATGACCGCACGATGAACTTTAGACGGTGATAGGGGTAGGCGAAATCACTGTTCATTTTTGCCTATAGGCGTTTTGTAGTATCTTCCTATACATAGGAAATATTTACAAAGGAAATATTAGAATTTTAAAAATAAAAAAAAAAATATATTGGAAGTTACCTTTAAAAGTGAACATGTTTATTAAGCTCAAGCATACCTACATAAAAATAATGTAATCAGAAAATATTGGATATAGACAAATAAAAAAAATATGACCATTACAATATTAATGCAAAAAATCTACTAAAAAATATATGCAAAAATAACATTAAACAATAACAAAATAAATGAAAATAAATAGAGAATGCAAATACACAATGTTAGGGGTAAGATTTGTCAAGCCCTTCCTAATTCTTTATAATTCGATGCTTTCTCTCTCTAATACTTCCATCTCTATTTAAATTTAATATATTTATTGAAAAGCAAAAACCTGACCACTTTCTCTCTATAACTATTTTATCTCTATTTACATTTTATATATTTATTGAAAAGAAAAACAACTTACTCTATAGTCTGCGAAATATTCTTTGTAAACCATAAGTGCGTAAATCAATCCATATCCTAAAGTTTGTCCTACACCATTGTGCACTTAAATATGAGAGAGTTTCCTACTCAACTATACAAGTGAAAATAAGATACCACTGTGTGCCCCTTCTTCTTTTTGCTCACTCTATTGCATACTTAATACAATAGTAAAAAGTTTATATAAAGGTGAGGCTCTAAACAATCAATTTAGGGCGCACTTCAAAAATTCACTAAAAGATGTTTTGAAATTTAAAAATCTTCAATTTGATTATCTCGACCTCAAGATATATAGACATGAGAAAACAATAAATTTCAAGTCTTAGAAATAATGCATCTTGTAATTCATTAGTTTTCAAGATTCTAATTATTTTTAGGCCATCACAAAGATTTCTAGTATTAAAATGGCATCTTTTGCCACTATTTGAAGATGCACCTTATTTTTTTTGTTTAGAGCTTTGGCCTTATACAAATCACACCCTTAAAAAAAAAAAAAAGGGAAACCCCACCCATTTTTCTCTAGGAAAATTATTTCATACGACGGGGACTGCATTTCTACATTTGCAGTTGAGATATAAAACATCAATCTTAAAGCATCTAAAAACAATTGAAACTACCAATCCAAATGCTTTCTTAATAGGATTATTTTTTCTAATTTTCAAAATTTATTTATTTTTCATATGGACGTGGTTAGCATGCGGCCAACCCACATATTATAGAAATACGGGTTTAGCGATAAATATATTTTTTAAATATGTAATCTTTAACATGAAGATCACCGGTATGAAAACTAAAATAAATTTTGAAACTAAAAATAATAATTATATTAAAAAAATATTTGGATGGTTGATTACAATTGTTTTAAAATGTATCCCTTATTTATATTATCCTCTTTAAAATAGATGCTTTATACCTCTGGATTGCATATTGTAGAAATGCGGTCCACCCCACATGAAACAATTGTTCTTCTTCCATATTAGGGATGGAGAAAGTTTATATGGAGCCGAGGCTCTAGACAATCAAATTTGAACCTATCTCAAAAATTTCACTTAATGAGGTTGTCTTGATGCCCAAATATCTTCAATTTGATCATCTCGACATCAAGATGTATAGACATGAAAAAAAAGTAGATTGTAAGCTTTGGGAATAGTATATTTTGTAGCGTATTTTTGTACTGCCGATTTTCAAGATTTTTGAGTTTTCATAAATATGTCCATCTACATTATTTTTTAGGTTTTAAACTTTATAAATAAATATAAAACTATATTTAAAGCTATGACAGATATTTTCAATGTTGAAACCACATTTTTCGATACTATTTAAAGATGGGCTCTAATTTGACTGTTTAGTGCCTAGGCTCTATACAAACCGCACATTAGGGATTACACGTTCGTATCTCCTGTAAAATCACTTGCTTAACTCAGGAAACTGAAAAGATCAAAAGGGTCAATCAGAATTGGCCTTTGAATGCAGTTCTAGGTTCTAAGATGCCTTCACTGTAAATCCATTATTCGAGGAACACAGAGCACAGTGAATCTCTGGTTTGGGGTTTTTTCATGGAGAACCATGGAAGCTCCTTCAATCCTCACAAGCACCTCAAGGAAGAGTATGCATACATTTTTTTCCCTACATTGCCATTTTGTATATATCTTTTGAACCCAGTTCATTTTTTGGATTCAACTTTTGATTTTCGATGTTTTATGGTGTTTGTAGATTCGTTAGTAATTTGACTGGTTCTTCCATGGTTGAGATCGCAGCTTTATCTGCAATTGTACCAGTGAGTCCCCTTGAATCTCTCTGTCTTTTTGCAACCACTTAATTGTGTGTATGCAATTCTAAGCTTTCTGTTACATTGTTTTATCATCAATTTCTGTGCACTTTCTTTTTTGGACTTCATTAATGTTAATTATTTGATGATGTTTATGGGGTATTATTGGGGATAGTTAATTTGAATGTGTTTCCTCAATCTCCAAGATCCTTTCATGGATTGAAGTACCCTCTTCAAGATCTTTCCCTCACAGTGTGTGCATTTATTAGTAGTAATTGCGAACAAGAGAAGGAAAAAATGAAACTGCATAGTTCTCGGGTAACATAGAATTCATTTGCTTCATATACATAGATTTATAAAACCTGAGTTAATGCAATTGTGTACTTGGAAAATGTCATGGCTGCAGCCTTTTGTGCCGTCTGAGAAGAACGAGGATGGCACAATATGCACTAAGAATGAAATGGTATGTCCATTTTTATTGGACCACACAGTTGCAGCCAAGCCAAAACCCTTCCACTACTTAAATCGTTGTTTTGCTAATAATTGTTGATAAAGCAGTTCTTCCCATGAAACCTTATACTCACCCTGACAATTACTGGAAATGTAACGTGATTTAATATGGTATCGTATGTGGTAGTAGTACTCTATACGGCTTCCAACATCCATACCTCATGATGGACAATGAAGATTGACCATTGTACAGCCTGTACCAACACTTTCCACTGTCGCCATCTCGATTCGATGGTGGGTACTCCATTAGAGTACTGCATACCTTTCTCCAATGGATTATAGTATATTACGTTAAAACACAATGAAGTTAACTGCCAAAATAGAAGAACAGCATACGTCTAAGCATTATTAATCGACTACATTGCATATAACATGTATTATGCATGATATCATGTCACTGTACAGATACTTCTTTTATAGCTAAAATCATCTAAGGAATGTAACCGTTGCACTTGCTTGCTGTTTATGCTATAATATAGGACGCATAATGACACATTCCAGTAACTTTGTGTTTGGAATGCAAGACTTCTCTTAGTTAGTTAATGCTCCCTCTTTGTAATATTACATCTGCAGGGACTTCGGACAAAGATGTGATATTAACGGGAAGTTTAGACATATTAGTGTTAATATTACGGTTTCTTTTTTTATATTCTGACAAGTTGTGATTACTTTGATTAATATCGACATATGTGTGGACTTATCTGGTAGTGTTGTGAAGCATGGGATGTGATGGAGCTGGTAATTATGTGTACTGTCTTTCCAGGCCTTAGTTCTACTGCGGCAGTGGAGTGCTTACAAATTTCAAGGTAATTAAATGGACTTTATGAGTCTGTGAGTGTTTTTCACTGATTCCTGTTGTAAATATTTTCTTTTATGAGCAGTTTTCTGAAATCGAGCTATTTTAGTTGTTGACTTAAATTATTTGTTGGATAGTTTACTTGAATCGTATTGTGGAATGAAAATTCACCTCACTTAAGTTATTCAGTTGATGGAAAATCACCTTTCACTTTAGTTATTCAGTGATTTATATTAACTGAGTCTGCATTTTAGTTCAATGTTTCATAAAGCTGTCTTTTCATCAATCTAGCTTCTTCTTGATATAAAATTTACAATATCATTTTTGTAGATTGCATAATCTTGTGTGTAATTTATAACGATAGTTGACTACGAGTATCATTTTTCCATTTCAGATCTCTTGTTTGCCACCAATATTAGGCAGAAAAAGTCTGGTGTAGTTTCCGTAAGTGCAAATTGGAGCAACTGCATGGTTGAATTGACCATGGATTTTCTTTGGATCATAGTTCCAACCCTCTCCATTTTCACAGTAAGTTAGGCATACTCCATAGCTAGTATACTGGAAACAGTGTTGTTTTGTTCAGTATACATACATATGTATATAGTTTTAGTGCAGTATGTGTATATTTGATCTCATTCATGGAATTTGAAATTGAAATTTGTATAATTATCTCAATCTTTGAATATCAGGTCCTAGCTGACTGGACGAATGTTTGTGCTGTTTGCTTGGTACTTCTGCTTGTCCTCTGTATTGTACTGGAAAGGTATTTGACATTAACAGTGATATACTTCAAGTTTGTTCGCTCCTATTCTCTTATTCCGAGGGATGAGGAAGAATGCCCTTCTATTTAGACACAAGATTCTTGAATAATGGTTCCATTAAGAAGATTTATTGATCTGATGTTCTAGAGCACTTTTTCAGATTCTGGATTTCCACCTCTAGTTATTCCAAGGATGGGAGCAAGCCTGTGGCATCTCTAAGGGGAAATCTTTCATCATACCGAGTTTCCATGGTATATCTTTCTTTCGAATTTTGTTTCTAACATCCAAATATGACTATTGTTTGTACTATCATCATTCTTCCATTCATCCTTTCTGTTTTCATATGAATTACTAAGATCAATTCTTTTTCCCTTGAGATTTAGATGCTTGTGACCTGCTTGTGCATATTGGCGGTTGATTTCAAAATATTCCCCAGAAGATATGGTAAAACTGAGCGTTATGGCACTGGTCTGGTAAGTTGAGAAAATGCTAACATTGCAACTTTTCTTTCCTGCCCTGGAGTTACCATTGGTAGTTAATTAGAAGTGAATGACTCATCCAGAAATGGTGCCTTGTATTCTCATTTAAGATATTCAATCTGATTAAGTGATTTATGTTAATAAATAATTAATTAAAATAGAACTTTCAGGAGAAAGAGAATTGATTTCTTATAAAACAAATTTTGTTATCTTTGTTTTCAGTTATTCAATTTTTCAAATGCAGAGGAGAGATTCTTCTTATGTTTCTAGGGATGCTACTTTCTTTGAGAATTTATCCTATCTGTTTCCTGTGGCAGATGTTTAAGATCTTATCTTTTCTTGGTGTATCATGATTATTAAGGAGAGTCATTCTGTTCTTCCTATTCCAATGAGGAACGAGGATATTCGTCCTCTATATCTATCACTACTTCCTCGTTGTCCACCAGCCCTATCTTATGAAGTGAGATGCGTAAGTATGGGTATGAACATGATTACAGGGATCCATTATATGCTTTGACATTTGTCAAAATCCCAGACATGGATGTAAATACAAGCATCCTATTCATTGTGTTGTATCATGTTAGCACTAGCATGTAAAGCCTATAGAAGTATCTGTCTGTCTTAGCTTGTGAGTACTCGGGAATAGATTTGTCTCGGTTCTGAACAAATTAGATGTAACAGAACTCGAGATTTGTACTTGAAGACAGAAAAACACATGGTTTGATCCCAAAAGTCATTAGCCACTTATCAAGGTAATGAGGGTCAAGGTTCTGGCATCGTCCTTCGTTCTTTACTTATTGATTTACCTGTTGCAGTTAGAGAACTAGGATCTTGTGCTAATCATTCTATTGTTCACTATGTTTTTTACCCATCTGTTCTCCCTCCAAAGCTTTTGTTTCAGCTATTTCCTTGAGTGGAGAAGCCTCAGATCTTGAAACAGCTATGTCGCATCAAGAATCAAAACGGTTGTTACCCGAGCTGCAAAACTTCCACTGTATAATGTACATATGAAATCAGACTTCATTGTCTTTGATAAATTAATGGATAACAACACCATTGAGTTATGGCAAATATCTTGAATATTTATGAGTTTCAGAAGGAAATGTGCCAGTATATTGCATGATCCACACTTTTCAATGCAATGTTCCACGACGTCCCTAGGGAAGCTAATGGGAAGTTGATGGTTTAGCTAATAGGGGGCTCATCTGGAGAGTATGGTGATTGGTTAGTGGGCCATTCTTAGAGTGTTGTTGTTTTATTTATTTTTTGATTGAAGAAGTTATATTGTGTATGTCTCTATTTGTCAAAACTTGATGTATACATTTTCCCTTCAATGAAAGTATGTTAATTGTAGATGTATGTAATGTTCAGCAACAAATATATATGCTTAATGCTTGAGCGATATATGTAATATGCCTTTGACTTAGAATTTATTGCCTCATATAATCATAGTTGATAAATCTCAACATGGCTACCTTCCTGTTAATTATGAATGGCATTTCAACACATTATTTTTTATTGCCTCAGAAGAGGAAAGGATAATCTTGGTAATCCTTTCCTTACTATTCCCATGCCACTAGTTCGTGAACTTATTATTGTGAAACTGAAGCTGTTTCATTGTAATGAGCTTCTTTTGTCTTCCTGTTTCCAATGTTGTTCTTATTTGTTGTCATGTTTGTAGTCCCTTAGATTGATGACATTCTAAGCATCAGCGGTTTATTGGGTAAACAGATGGATCTTGGGGTTGGATCTTTTGTAGTGGCAAATGCATTAGTGTCAAGACAAGCACGGAAAGCTCCTTCAACGTGAGTTTAATTTTATGTTCTCTTAAGTTCCAAATAACAACTATTTTTCTTAAGCAATGTCTTCAATCTGTCAAGCATGACGTGTAACAAGTACATCTAACCTACACTCATCAATGTTTAGATAAAGGACATGGATAACATAGAAATTAATACCAAGGATTCGTTGATGGACTTTTTGAATTCAATTGTAATTTTCTAAAACTGTCTAAAATCTTGTGCTTGAATTTGACACATATTTGAGGGACATGCAATTTCTTTGGGATATCAGGTCATCTATATACATGTAGCATGATGAATAAGTAAAGGATGAAACTGCTCCTTTGGTGGTGCCAAATGATAAAATTCCCAGGAAAATGACTCAAAAGTCCTTCGGTACATAATTACATATTTAAAGTATAAGGATACAGTAATGGGCGACAGTCCTCAATGCTCCAACAATTTGTCCCTCTCCCCCTAGCTCTCCCTAATTTGGGATCATGACAAGGCAATGGTGAAAATTTATCCACTAAGAATTTAGTTTGGCTAGTGTGGCACTGGATGAACAAGTTGGCATTGTAAATGTTAGAGGAAACATGTGGGAGACCAATATTATCTTTCACAAGTTTTTCCTGTTTCTTTGGTAGTTTTTTTTGTAAAAACCTATACTTCCAAATGCCCCTCCAGAGTATCTTATCTAAAAAAACAATTCAAATCGACAAAATTTCATTACCTTTAAGGTCCTCTTCTTTTTCCAATTTAACGAAATATATCAGTGGTTCCTGCATATTTGACCTAGACTAATGCCAATTTCCCATTATTTCTTGCTTTTCGAACTTTTAGTTGCCATGAAATGAGTACTGACCTGCTCATCAATGTTCACTTAATTTATTGCAGGAAGCATGGTGCTGCATTTCAATCTGTAAGTCCTCTTATCTTGCTAGGATTTGCTCGGGTTCTGCTTACAAGGGCTGTTGATTATCAGGTAAGCCAATTGCTTCTCCAGCTTGTTCTCTTTTCTTATTCAAAGCTCTCCCTTATTTAACTGTCACTTTTAGAGAGTAGAGCGGACCCAATTTGATAGATTACATTGATCTGCATTTTAAATGAGCATATTGCCGCCCCATTCCATACTAGGCAATTTTCCATGCCCTTAACTTTGTATCTTTCTCTTATGATTTTTATGGCTGTTGGTAGAAACTAAGGCAACTACAGGGCCTTTGAGTTCTTGTTTAGCATATTCCTAATCCCTCATTCCCATCAAGTAGCACTCCTAGCCCCTCTATCATCTTCTGCTGCTCTCTTTCCTTATCTAACCCTAATTCTCCGCCGTGTTCTTCCACATTTTTGTACCCCTCCCCTCACCCCAAACACCCCCCCCCCCGACACCCCCCCTGCCAAATAAAAAAAGACACACATACACACACCCCCAGCTGTTGCAGAAGCTAAACTATTGCACTCTCTTTGTTTTTTCCTTGCCATGATTCTCTTCACCCCTTTATCCCGTGCTCTATCCAAACACTCTTGCATCTCTCTTGAAAGGAAAGGTGAGACCTGAGAGAGAATTGTTAAACTATATTCCGTTAAGCATCCTTGATGTTACTGACCCAGCATCCTCTCTTCGCTCTCTTTCCATAACTTTCCATTTGCTTGATACGCCTTCCCACCTCATCAACATTGAATTTGAGGTTGCCTCTTATTATTTTCCTTTGAATAGGTGAAGATGACTTTCCATTTGAATAGCATGATTCTGTTTTTGACCCTCATGTATCGTTGTTTATGTACATCCTTAATATCTGCATTAATGAATATACATTTGAAGGTATCTTCTGTGAGTCTTCTGGCATTTCTTCTGTAATTTTTATGAAAATTTCATTGGCTTTCCTTTATTCCTTTTTGTGCAGGTTCATGTGGGGGAGTATGGTGTGCACTGGAATTTCTTTTTCACACTTGCTGCTGTATCATTATTAACTAACTTTATTAATATTGATCCTCAGTATTCTGGAATCCTTGGTGCATTAATTTTACTTGGTATCCCACTGTCAATTCACCTTTTCTTGCTATCAACTTTAGTTTCATATAAACAATGTTACAAGTCCGGACCTAACTCTTTTGTGATGCTTCAGTGTACCAGTTGGTCTTGAAGGGTGGGTTGAATGCATACCTGCTTTCAAATGAGAGAGACTTGGACCTCGTCAGCCTTAATAAAGAGGGAATTTTTAGTTTGTTTGGTAAGAATCTTTTGTGAAATTTCAGATTTCTTGTTATCCTGCTTGAAATTACCCTTGGATGTCATGCTTTCCACTAGATATGCATTTTTTTATTGAATGTCTATGAAGATATGTAAAAATTATTTATAAATTAGTTATCGAGGGATACTTTTTCATTATATGCATGGACAAATGTGCGCCTTTCATCCAATATGGGCCAAATATTGTAACTTTGTCTCAATTTCTGTTTAAAATAATATGCAATTACTATTTACGGAAAAAGAAAAGGTAATTTGTACCTGATTTCTGACCAATGCAATTGGTAATGGAGGTGCTGGGGCCAATTGGATGTGGGTCTAGGATTGGAATTTCAGCCATTAGACCTCCTAAAGATTCCTCCAGTCTCAGTAAAACCTGATTGGATTGGTCAGTTTGATTGGTTTGGACTGAATTATAAGGCCGGCGTTTGAACCCACTGGCCTGGTTCCAATGAGACCAGTTTTGATCATGAGGCGATGAGGAACCTAGATCATAACTCAACAAATATTCAGACATGGTTCTAGCCCTATGTTATTGAATTCACTTGGGTGGCCAGGGGAGGGGTGCGTTACAGCTCTTTGGCCGATTTGATGGAAGCCTTTGGATGTATTTATCAAGCAAATAAAGCAATTCAAAACAATAAGTAGGCACTTTTTCAGCTTATTTTAGTATATCAGGAATATCTTCCAATTTTTGAATGTGTCAGGCAAATTCTCTCTGTCCTGAATAAATGCATGATAATCTGAAAATATCTCTGATACGTTCAAAATATTGGTATTCGATTCACTTTTCTTCAGTTTAGGGGCTGGAGCCAAAGACTTCAGCGAATGCAAAGGCAAGGAAAGTGTATCAGGCAGTATTGGTTTTTTTATTTGCCAATTTTGGTTCCATAATGTTGTAGCAGTGAAATTAATTCTGAAAATTTATTCTTAGGCATTGTTGGACTACAACAACAATATGTATATTTTTACTGTTCAATCTATTTTCTTCCACGCAATCGCTTAGGATGCTACATGACTTCATCTTTTATGTCATTGAAAATGGATCATCTTTTTTGCATTTCATGATTGATAATTTTTCCATTTGTTTAACTTCTAATGAGATTGCTGACCTGCTAATGTTCCTGTTAAATAGTGCCTTGAGGCTCATATATTCTGTTAACTATTTTATATAACATTTGATTTATTGTATTCTGTTGTTGGTTTGTACTTGTACTTATACTTACCATAAATTTTCTATATTATAAAGATTTCAAGGGCCATTATGCATTCTTTCTTTCTTATCCAGGCAGGAAAAAAGAGAAAAAGGTCAAATTCCTTAGATGTTGCACTTTTGGTTGAATGTGTGTTCGTCAATCAATATATTTCATCATGGATATTGACATAGGGAATTTCTCAATTTAGTTTCTTTAATGTTTATGTTGTGTCGTACTGCTAATAAGTTTTTTCTGCCTTTTTTAGGATACTGGGGTATGTATCTCGTTGGTGTAGGCTTAGGGTACCAGCTGTTCTTTGCAAAGAATTCAACCACTCATGACACGGGAAAATGCCAAAAGAAGCCACTAATCGGGGTTTGGTTCTGTTCGATTTTCTTTTGGTACATCTTCTTTTTCAGATAATCCTTTTGTACATCCTTTTTATGAATTCTTTTGGTCTGAATAGATTCAGATTGGAAATAAAATGTCACTCCATCTAATTTGCTTTCTGACTCATAGTCTGCAACATGTAATGTCTAGGCTAACGACAATTTTTCTAGACAAGCATGTGGAGAATGTTTCTCGTCGAATGGTAAAGATGTTTTCTACTCAAATCACCATTTCATGTTTAGATTAAAGGGAATGTCTCACCATCTTTTGATTGAATTAATTTTAATCTGTCCTCTCATGTGAAGTAATCGCCCTGTTAGAGCATCACATTGTTATGTTACATTATATTGGATACTGCTTTAAATATCACTAGATAGTTTTGCTGATTTGCTCCTTGTAAGATGTTTACTGATACAAAGCCCTCTTTGCAGTGCAATTTAGCTTATGTTACATTTGTATTGGCGCAAAATTTCCAGGTAATTTGCTGTACCACTTGTGCAGAGGAATATATATCATCTAAATCTAGTCTTTCTGCACTTGCATCAATTGCTCTAGGAATTTTGTTGGATTAGTCCTCTAATAATGCAGATTCCGTTGATGAATTTGAGTTGGAAATAACAATTATGCTTGCTATATCTGCAATCCCATTGTACAGATATTTGAGATTTCATGATGGAATATGGTGGAATATTTGAACTATTTTGTTTTTTTTTTTTTCTGAATTTGTGCATTTTGCTCTACACACAAGTATGCATGCACATGCACATAGATATAGGGAGGTTTGAAGTTTCCTGAAGCTTTCATTTGTTCATGTGTTTTTAGGTTCTAGCGATTTTGATGCTGTCTAACTTTATCCCCGAACGAAAATTGCTTAGCCTAGAAGAAGCATTTGATCAAAATTTGCTAGCAGCATTTCTGCTGGTGAGCTTGAGAGCATGTTATTACATTTATATTCCTTTTTTTTTTTCGTTACTTTATTGAAACTTTGAAAATGCTTTTAACAAGCCCACTGACTTTCCTTATGCAGGCAAATGTTCTCACCGGGTTGATAAATGTGTATGTTGATACTCTATTTGTTTCATCAACAGCAGCTTTTAGCATTTTGATTGGATATGCCGTGGCTTTGAGTTTTTTTCTTGGATGTGCTAAGTTTTTCAACGTTAAATTTAAATTTTGGTGAACTATAATATACTGATTGTTAATTTGAGGCAACAAGATTAGAGGCCACCATCAGACCTGAACATGTACTACCGATTGATGTTGTCAATTGTTTGTCTACTTTTTTTTAGCCCTCTCATGGTGTTTATGTCACTCTGGAAACCATTGCTTGAGTTCCCAAATCTGATAGATAGTGCATAGTTAAATGTTATTGATTTCCTGATGAATGAGCTCCCAAATCTGCTAGAGCAGCGCACAGCTCGCTCTCTCTCTCTCTCTCTTGGAAAGGGTTCCTATATATATCCGAGTTTCCATCACTTTTCCAGAGCACATTAATTGGGCGCGTTTGGTTCACTGGAAATCTCTCCATAGATATTTCTGAAAGATCGGCTTCATAGCTCCTTGGATATGAAGCCACTTTACAAGGAACAGTGGAGATTTCTTAGGTTTTATTTGCTCCACAGAGATTTCAACGAGAGAGATGTCCCGTCCCACAAACCAAATTTGGGAAATCGATTTGGTCAACGGAATTTTCTTACCTGGCAAAAGAGATGGGCCGGAGATTTAGGGGCTCTCTGTATCACATGCATACAGAACTATAATCTTGAATTGCATGTATGATTGCCGGTGTCGAATCTCCAGGAAAAGTGTGATCTTTAAATCATATGTAGAGGGGAGTGGCAGAGAGTTTTACGTATTTTCTGGAAAGCAGGGCACACGCATGTGTTTGCCATTCTTTTGTACGCTTGGAAAGCAGATACTTGAATTTATAACTATTGTTCTCAACTGACAATCTTTTGGAAACCTTTCTCTTCCATACACAACCTAGATAGATCCACAGTTATGACGTTGAAAATCATCAAATAAAGTTCATTTTCTATTTAACTAGATGGCATATTAGCAAACCACAACTAATAAAGTATTTGAAAATTACAACTCTCTATTACTTGGGAAATTGTAAGGGTAAAATCTTTTACTTCTACTATTTGGAGGAACTTTAGAAAAAAGATTCCAAGATGTGGATTTCCAAGTATTCCCATTTCCACATTTAGGAAAGGAAAAGTTTATCATATGCCAGTGTGTGTATGGTCTTTCGTACACCATGGGGAGCCCTCCATTCTTGGATGGGCAGTGGAGATTAACCTACTGGTGAACAACTATTGTCAGGAACTTCAGTTAATCTCAACCGCCAGTCACTGCTAACGATCGGTGGATGCTTCTCTAGTGTATCATATACCAATAATGATACACATTGGCATTATTACATCCCAATAAAAAGGGCAATGGCCCAACATAATAGCAGTTTTATCCCTTTCTTTCCAATGTTGAAAGACATGGGCGTCAGTTTTCGGCCGGAGAAAAGGAGGAGGAGGAAGAGGGAGATGAATATGGAAGAGGAGGAGAGGCAGAGGATTATGCACATTCAAGTGGAGCGTAACAGAAGGAAGCTTATGACCCACCATCTCTCTATCCTTGCTTCCCTTCTACCCCCTCACCACATTAGAAAGGTTGGGGACTCTCTCTCTCTCACAAATTTTATTTTATTCTTCATACATATACACACGCAAGCATTTTGTTTTATTTTTTTTTGAAATATTTTTTACTCACCCAGTTTTGTATCTTTGAACAAGTCTATAACTCAACCATTTTTTTTTAAACTGACAATGAATTTAGACTAACCCAACCCAACTGGCTGAGAGCTTCTCCCATGAAGATATATTCTTGAAAAGCTTGTTCATATCATTCCAAAGTCTTCACCAAGTTTCCAATTCAATTGAGCATCTTTCTCTCTCTCTCAACTGAACTTACACCGTGAGAACCATAATAGAAACGTATTTTTTTTTTTAAATTTATCTTACTAGAGGGACCAGGCATCGATTATCGGCGGAGCAATTGATTTTATAAAGGAGCTAGAGCAGCTTCTACAGTCCCTCGAAGCTCAAAAGCAAATAATGCTTCAGCCTCCTCCACCCTCTGCTAATTACTTGTTAGAATTGAAGGCACAAGAGAGAGGAAATAGTCTTGTCAGTGATAGTAATAGGTTTGAGGAGGAGGGAGCTGGTTCAAAGGTGGAGGTAACATTGATCGAGAGTCATGCAAACATTAGGATTGTGTGTCCATGGAGGCCCAACCAGCTCTCGAAGATGGTCCTCGGATTTCACAAGCTGTGCCTCTCCATTTTGCACATGAACGTCACCTCTATGCGTCCTATGGTCTTCTACTCCTTCAGTACTAAGGTACTCTGTGTGTTTTAAGGTACATATGCCGTTGAGTTATGCCGTACGTGGGCTCTCCTTACACTGTGTCCTGAGAAAGGACGGCAGTGATGAACCTCCGTTCTCAAGGCTTTATGTTTCATCTCCATGATCCATCTTGAGAACAGAAGGTGGATGGCCCAAGCATACATATTTATTTCCTTTTTGTTTTTTGAACGTTGATTTGGTACTTCGTTAAAATGGTACTCGCCACACGATTGCATCTGCCTAGAGCCTGCTCTCTAGACATGTATTGCTAATTTTAATTAGCACATTGCGTGCACATTTTCCTTCCAAAAATATGAAAACATCTCTTAGTTTGAAAGATTATACTCCTTAACCTTCATTCTGAATAAAATAAATAAAAGAACTTATTAATTTTTTTCCTTTTTTTTGAGTAATTCATAGGGATGACGAATCCTTACCCATTTTTGAAAGTTTTTCAATGCGTTAGGTGAGAATGGAAGCCTCGACCTGATGTACAAACGCTATTGCCACTTTGATCCCTAATCTCATTATAAAAAAAAAAAACTCCAAAAGAAAAGTATTCATCATTCCCTAATTGCATGAGGACCTCTCTCTCTTAATCGTTTTTTAGGTTGAAGAAGATAGCAAGCTGATGTCAGGGGAGGAAATAGCAGGAGCTGTTGATCACATGGTCAGCACATTACACGGGAAGGAATCCTTTCCAAAGTGAGACAAGCGATCTCGAGAGAGAAGGACGGGGTCCATTGCATTAAATAAGAAGGAAGACTGATAGCAAATAGAGAAGCGTTCATTTACTATACTACTTTTTAGGGAGATGTGAAGTTTTATTGAAATGAGAATCGTAAAGTCCTGTTTCTTTTTCCTCGTAAATGTGGAAGGACTAAAAATGGAAAGTTGAGGCGACATGTAATCCCTAGCTTGCTCTCACATCTCCTTCCCTCTTTTGGGATTTTACTCCCTCTTGCCCTTTATTTTATTTGTATTTGAATTTTAAAAACTCAAATACAAATAAAATAAGGTTGGAAAAAAAAAAATTTATATAAAGTTGGATAGAAGTAAGGTGCACCTCGAAAATTCAGTAGAAACGAGCGTTTCGGAATTGGAAAACCTTCTAATTAAGCATGTCGATCTCGAGATGTATGGATATAAAGAAAAAATATTATCAAGTCTTAAAATTATGAATCTTGTAACCAGTTAATTGGACCGTTTATTTTTATGATTTTTAAGTGTTTATAGATTTGCTCGATTTGTACTGTTTTTGAAATTTGAAATTTCATGATTAGGGTTGAATATAGATTTTCAAGCCATTATAACATTTATAATACCCGAACTATATCTTCCAGCAAAATTTAGAGGTGTGACTTACTTGCTATAAGGTGGGCAAAACTTATATAAACATTACCTTAATAAATTATTTACACGTCCTTACTTTCATTGACACTCAATTTGCTGTTTACAATTAGGGGATTTGACGGTCGTCCTTTATAGTCCCTTGGTTTTAATTTAGGGTGTGGTTTGCATAAGCTTGCGACTTTAAACAATCGGTTTGCATATGCTTGTAACGTACTTTCAAAATTTGTCATCAGATGTAATTTTAGCATAAAAAATTCTTAACTATAAAAATTCATAACTCCAAAATTGTTCAAATCAAGCAGATCTTATAAACACATGAAAATCTTAAACATAGACAGTAGATAATGTATTACAAGATGTACAATTTATGGGACTTGAAATATTTTTTTTCACCGCATCCATTTATCTTGATGTCGAGATGATCAATTACATGGTTTTCTAACATCAAAACAACATTTTTCGAGGGACTTTTGAGGTGCAACTTCATTCCACATTCTAAGATGTCAACCTTATATAAGAATTTTTAAATTTTACTAATGCTTTAATTTTTTTAATAAGTTAAATACTCTGTTTAGATTCTTATTTTTGGTAAAATAATTAGCACATAAAAGCCTTCTATAAATATTTCAGCATGTCTTCCATTTCTATCTTCTAAAACCAGGATTACGACGAAACATAAAAGCGATTTTTAAAGAGAAATGGGCATGAACTATAACACATCAAAATTTTTTGAAGAGATTTTAGGGATGGAAGATAAGAGAGAACAAAAAGGGAGTTTTTATGAAATTTGGAACAGTTTCAATACAAGATTTTGGGAAATTTGAAAGAAAAATAAAGAGTAGCAATAAATGTGAAATCATAGTCACATCTAACAGTCAGCCAAGCAAACAACCTAAGGTACATCCAATTAAAAAGATATAATAATGACCTTGTGGAGCCGTCCATTGGTGCACAACCAATTAGAAGATATATATAATGAATCATATTAGTGGTGATAGGGACATAAAAGATTTGGCGTCCCATGGGACCAAATTGTGCAGAGGATCCCATGACCCAACCACCGTGTTGAAGGGATTTGTTCGACTCGAATGATCTTAAATTATATTTAAGGAAAATACCAGCAAAATGGTCAAACAACTTCCAAAAATGTAATTAAAGAATCAAATCATCCCATTTATCAACAACGTGGTGATTGAATTAGGGAAAAGTTTGTATAAGGTTGCAATTTTAAAATTTAGAATTACGGTGGACCTAAAAAATCCATTGGAAAAATAATATTTTCATTTTAGAAAGCCCTATAATTGATTATCTTGACATCGAGAGGAGAGAAATAAAAATAAAAATAAAAGATTTCGAGTTTTAAAAATAGTGCGTAGTGCAGCACATTATCTGGACCGTCTATTTTCAATATTTTCATGTGCTTATAGATCTACTTGATTTGAACGATTTTAAGAGTTTAAAATTTTATAATTAGTGTTCCTAAGAAATCTTGACACCAAAATTACATAAAATTTGGAGGTGCTCCTTACTTTGATTGTTTAAGGTTGCAACCTTAGGCAAACCACATCCTTTAATTTGATCATCTTACTCAAGTATCTCTTAAAATATTTTTGTTAAAGAAGACCAAAATGCACCTATTGATGGTTCAAAACTCCGAATAAGTTTAGTTTGGTGATCCCATTACACAAATAAGGCCACATTAGAAAAGTGCCTCCATGTGGTCCAGAAGCCAAACCCAAAGTGCATCCATGTGTTATTGAAGCCAAATCCAAAACAAAAGATTTTAATGAAAAGAATACATGTGGGTTTGGAACTAGGAAACAGTAGGGCTAATTTTTTCGGCGTGTAGTTCAGGTTCCAAAACCTAAACACGTTACACTAAAATTTTTTACACTCGATTTGGAATCTCGAACAAACAAAGGTGATAATGTTATATTTGGACAACTTAAGTGATATACAATTACCTAAATGCCCCTATTTATTTGGGATGCCAAAGGATTTTTTTAATTTTTGGGTAGAAATAGTTGAATGGGTCCTTTTCAATTTTTGGGTAGAAATAGTTGAATGGGTCCTAAAGCTGAAGGGTTTGTATACAATGAGACCATTTACCTTTGATACCAAGTCACAATTATTACAACCATCCGATGTGAAATCTGATAACTTGGGTGTGTCACAAAATTCGAAAAAGTTTTTTTTGAACTTTGAGCTTAATTAATGAAATAAATGCAACCACCCAATTTCATATCCAATGGTCAAGATTAATTGTGACCACTTTGTCTCAAAGGTAAATTGTCTTTTTATATATTTTTTAAGATTGTGAGGATAAAATGGTTGATTTGAACACCATGGACATCTTTTTTGAAAGGGTGCAGTTGGCTACGGATGCATCCATAACTGTAGAGGTAACACTTTCAAATTTTATCACGGTATAAACTTTTGCTGTAAAATGTTTTTAGGATTATCTCAAAATCTATTTTTATATTTAATTATAAAATTTTAAATTTCAAAAATGGTTAAAATCAAGTAGATCTATAAACATACGAAAATCTTAAAAATGGACGGTGTAGATAATATGTTGTGAAATGCACTATTTCTGAGACTTAAAGTCTTTTTATTTTTCATGATCACACATCTCGTTGTCGAGATAAACAATTAAAAGGTTTTTCAACATTAAAACTGCCTTTTCCGATGGAGCATCCGTAGTTCTACATTATAAGATTGTTTTCACCCAAAAAAATCTGGAACAAAAAAAAGAAAAAAGAAAAAAAACTCTATCAACGATTCCTACCTCTAGGTTGACATTGGACGGTCTATTTATTGCCAATGAGATCTAATTCTGAAAATCCAAATATCAAATTATTCTTTATTAAAACAAAAGGGCAATGAAATATGACTTGAAGTTTTCAGGTCATAAAAGACACCCTGACTTGGTCGTTTGCGGTTATAATTAAGACTCCAACCCTACAAGTTGTTCATACCTTTGCCAGCAGTAAATGTAAAATCGTTGGAATTTTGACTGACATTTGGAACCAAAGAAGACCAATATGGGTTTATATATAGTGGTTTGTGATTCAACATTTTTTTTTTATTGTTAATGAGGGTTATGTTTTTAGATTTATTGGCCATCTCCGATAGATTTAGCCAAAAGGAGTAATTTTAAAAATTGAAAATTACGCGTATTTGTTATGTTTACCGTTATTACAATATCACTTAAAATTTTCACTTATAACATTCAATTTTTCATATATTAGATGTATACCTGTTCTCATGAGCCTTAAAAGCTTTTCCAAAAGAATAATGATCATATGAGACCCTCCTACACCCATGTGTGTAGGACCCTAAAAAATCACCATTAAATTTGGTATAGATTTCTAGAAAAGTCAGGTCCCATACTCATGTAATAATTTTTTTAGAGATCTGTGCCAAATTTTATGGTGATCCCTTGGGATCCTATACACATAGGTATGGGATGGTCTCATATGATCATTATTCTTTCCAAAATTACCCTTATTTCGGATTTTCAGGATCCAAAAAAGAAAAAAAAAAAGATATTCCCAAAAATAAAATTGGGAATAAGTTCCTTCCTCTCTTTCTTCTTCTTCTTCTTCTTCTTTTTTTTTTTTTTTTTTGTCATCTCTTGATATTTTGGATCTTATATTTGCCACTCGACTTCTTCTGCAAAACATGCAGCAAGGAAATAGGAGAGTGTGATTAATGGGTCAAATGATGAACAAGTATATAAGCATTGTGTGCAAAGAACTAAAGACCAAGGGGCATATATACACACACATACATGCGAAGGTTTTCATTGATAAAATATGTATGGATAGACTTACTCATGCCATCAAAGTAGAGGCAGAAAAGGGAAAATATGAGGAAAGATGAGGACAATTGACAAAAATTGTGATTTCGTGATGAGAGCGAAATAAGCGCCATGTCAGTTTTATTTCAAGATCAATCCTTGTTCGATTGGAAACAATCTTGAGGCCTTGTTGCTTAATGGTGTTTATCTCTTGGTTTTATGCAAACTAAGCTAATCTACTTATACAGCTGATGCAAACCAAGCTAATCTACTTAAATATAAAAACGGGGAAAAATTAGAGAAAAACATTATGCAATATGCAAAATATTATATATTCAACATTATGTGGCTATGGCTATTCAGAATTTCAAAACAACAAATGCAAACCCAAGTTAGAAACCATGACAAGAAGTCGAATCGTTCATATACTCCCGGAATGCTTGATTTTATTTCATGGATCTGTAATATGGATTATAGGCAATGCTGAGATCTACTAGGGATCCATGATCTCGTGTCAGATTCGATATCCCAAACCCAGTTAATCACCACCATAAGGGAGACAAGGATCATAAGCACATTATTTTCAATGAGATCGAATTGAGGACATGATGACAAGGAAAGTTACTCGCAATTATCAATATTAGTTTTTTGTATGGATGCTGGTTTTAAACTTGAGTTCTATCCATCCAAGAACGTATAGATTCAAGAGTTTATTTTGGTGGCAAAGCAAGTGAAGCAAGAGCGAACATGTTGCTGAAAAGATTCCTCATGCAATGAAGCCCAAGTCTTCTGGTTCAATTTAGCATGTTAAATGCTTGCTCTTTAGCGGCCACTACTTCATTATAGAAGCAATTCAAATTTATGCTTAAGCAACCATCGAAAAATAGGGTAACAACTATTGGTTCCAGTCAATGAATAGAAACTTCAGTGACCACTCTTTCTGGAATTTTGCACCGCAGTCTAAATTGATTTTTCTCAGAATAGGTTATTTTAGTGTGCTGTAGGTGGTTGTCCAGTTGTTTCGAAGCTCACTTCCAACAGAGTCCAAGTCCTTGAGTAAGATTTACTGCCCCATAAAATTCCATTTCCTACTACACCGGAATTGACATTGTACCAAATGGATGATACAATACAGAGTGAATGCCACTTATCATAAGGATATGCATCATCATAAATAAATTAGCAAAAACAAAGAAAAAGGCTACAATATTCCCAACCCATAATAAATTTCATCTTCTAATGCAACTACCATGCAGTAACAGCAACTCTAATGCCTTATTAGACAAGATACATGCGAAATTCCTTGAAGTTGGCAGCTGGTTGGACTTGCAAACAGCAACTGAATAGCTCACACAAAGCAAATCTATACCTTGTTCTTCTCACGAGTCTATTTTCGAATAGCAATATTTTTCTCTATTTCTATTATAATATTTGCAGAATGGGTTTGGGGATTAGATTTGCAGGCCTTTTTTTATGTGTTGAACTTTCAGTGCCATCATTATTGATATTTTTCGTATTAATGAATGCTAGAAAAAGTGGGTTGGTTTAAACTAAGAAAATTCAAAGTCAGAAACACTTCAAGCATCAAATTTGGGAGTTCTTTCAATTTATAACAATGAATAAAAAAGGTCTTCGACGTGTCCAATAAATCAAACAAATATGTAAAATTCACCTAAGAACTTTTGGACTCCTAGATGCCAGGTCTAAGAATGCAGGAGGTTGGATTCTGGAGATTGGGGCGATGATCTGTATCAGGTCATTTTAAGCAAAAAAAGTTTCAATATACAACAGTAAGCAAAGGAGCAATTGATCAAGTGGGAAAGCATTGTAGAGACCCCCATCATTCCAAGAACAGAAAACACACATATTCTCATGATGGAATACAATCTGCACTGTAAGATGGGAGTTCTTAAGAGTTAGCCTGCAAATTGCAGAGCACCAAATATAAATACAGAGAAAAGGCAGAACAATGTCGTCTATCACATTATCTCTGAGCTCTCCCAATGTATGTGTAAGAGAGAAAGATTATTCTATCATAAGAAGGTCTCTCAAATTCAATCTCACAAGCAAGATGTCACGCCCGTATATCAATCAAAACCAGTGTACAGAGCAGTAGAAGTTCGGTTCCTGCCACAAATATCAGCAATAATGCACAAATTCTCCATCCAGAAGCAAAACAAATCAGAAAGTCTTTGTTCCGCCCGTGATAAATTCTGGGGTTGATAAATTTTGGGTTCTCTTTATATTGGGAGAACTGCATTTCTCCCTCTACCGTATCTCGGAAACAAGAACTTACCACCTGAAAATGATCTCTTCATAGCAGGAGGACCCTTCACTGTATGCAATAACCTACGCCCAGAAGCCTCTCTGCAAACTTTATTGTCACCCTTCTCTCCTTCAAATCCCTTTGAGGACTCTGCAACTGATGGATCCGGGTAATCCTTAGCAGGAAAAACACCACTGGATTCACTTCCAGAGTCTAAATTGAATGCCAAAATATCAGCAATAGAGAGACAAACTCTCGAATCCATAGAAACTGATCGCCTAATTGGCTCTCTCTCCAATTCCCTTATCTCAATTACTGTATCTTCCTGCCCCAAGTCGCTCAGCGCTCGAGAACAAACATTTCTTGAGAACCCAACTTCATCCCCATCTCTATCATGGCTTTCCCCTGCAAGTACAGGTGAATTCTCAGGAACCGAAGACAATCCATCTTCCGAAACCGAAATCGCAAATTCTTCATTTTCCTGCGAGTTTTCCTGAGAAGTTAACGGAATTAGAGGCTCTTCTGGTGGAACCAGAGGTTGAGGTGCCTGAATTTGCACAGGAAGGGGAGCAGGTACAATATTTGCTCTACAAAGAGGGCAATTCGAATGCGATCTCAACCACGTATCAATACAATAAACATGAAAAGCATGGCTGCACTTTGGTAACAATCTTACGCTCTCATCTTCCTGAAACTCACTTAGACAAACAGAGCAATCCGTTCCTTCTATTAATCCATCTCCTCTCTTATATTTGCACAAAGTTATCGACTTTATCAGTTGTTCTTCTAAACCCAAAGTATTAGAACCATGCCAATGATCATTTTGAGGCGGGTTTGCATTGTCTGAGAAATCATGGTCACCATTGTTGCGGTTTCTATTTCGAAAAGAATCCCAATTTCCACAGTATTTAGCAACAACGGTATAGTACCCAACAAGGAGGAAAGCACTTGCAAGGATTCCTATAATGGCGATAACCAGAGGAGAGAAATTGGGGTCAGATTGATCAGTTGGAAAACCAAAAGGTGGGGGAGGAGGAAAGATTATGTAACACCATTGTGGGCAATAGAAACTGCAAAAGCCTTGAGTGCAGTCCGTGTTATTCATATCAGGGACCCAGATTTGCTGGTATTCTGGTGAGGCCATGGTTGAGAGAGAGAGAGAGAGAGAGAGAGAGAGTAGTA